AGTGAGGCGACATTATGGATTTTATCGCGGCAACCACTAATTGCTACTGAAATTTATCTGGCGCCTCCATATTCTACGGGATATTACTACAGCGCTGCAGTAGTACTCGAGATCGTAACTTACCGTCCTAAATCAACACGCTGTTCTCCGTGGCGCTAAAACGCGAGAGTGGTGTCTCGTTTGATTTTGCTGGATAACTCGCTGAGTAACTCGCTAAATCAAGTACGTCTAAGCTTTTTTCTTGTCTGTGCAAAGTTCTAGACAATGTTGCTAAAGATGCAATGAGATTAAATCGTGATTATAACAATGACAGCTTAACCATCCAACATGAGGTTTTTAAAAGCAGTATCGATATTTTGAATTTTACCAAACAAAAATTTAAATCTGTAAAAACTAAATAAAATACCAGCCGATCTCCATGGTGGTAAAAATTTGTTACAGTTTTAATACGGAGGAAGGTCGGGTGATATTGGACATTTTACGTTTTTTCGAGGTTTCATTTTCTCGGTAAAAATTAAGTATAATATGTATGATATAAAGCATTATTCTTATACCAAAACACTCTTTTAATCGTATGTTTATTTTAATGAAAATAGATAAGATTTTTACATTTTTAAACGTCATTACATTTTACAATTTTTGTAAATTAGAAAATGGTATTGGACAAAAACATAATTTTTAAAATCATACTTATTAATTACAAATTTCGAATTAATTTTTTATTTATATTAATAAAAGAGACGAGTTCCTTCAAGATTGGCACAGTTTTCATGAGCCAAATATTCACAAACATTACACTGAATAATACCATTTTCGTCAAATTTTCTCCCCACATGATGCAATTAATTTTTTCATCATCTTATTTATTTTTTTCCTTAAACACTAATGTTTTTTTATAACATTTATTGATTTTTTTTATTTGTTAATCTTATTTTTATTCTTATTTGAGTTACATCACTTCATTGTCCAATATCACTTGAATAATTCGTGAAAAAACGTATAAAACGAGCAGTTTTGAAAAAAAGTGATTTAAAACTCACAACTTAAAGATGATAAATTAGGAACGATATTCAACTTAAATTTAATGATGGTTTAATGATGGAGATTGGTTGGTAAAGTTAATCCCAAGCCGGCGTAAACAGCATCTGCACAATAAAATGCAAAATAATTTATAAACAACACTGCATCTATTTTCAATAGAAAAATCCCAGCTTTCACGTATAAGTGGATTTACCAGTGATTTAATAAATGTTGCCACACGCGTCTAATATTTTAAATAATCCTTGTCCAAAGTCCTTGTCTGTGCAAAGTTCTAGACAATGTTGCTAAAGATGCAATGAGATTAAATCGTGATTATAACAATGACAGCTTAACCATCCAACATGAGGTTTTTAAAAGCAGTATCGATATTTTGAATTTTACCAAACAAAAATTTAAATCTGTAAAAACTAAATAAAATACAAGCCTCCATGGTGGTAAAAATTTGTTACCAACCGCTGTCCAATGTGACCTGACTTTTCTCTATCAAAATTTTTTCAGATTTTTATATAATCCGGAACGATAAAAAAAATTTGTTCTATTTTTCGAAAACCGCTGACAAAAAAATTAAAATTCCATGTTGCCGGCGGAGGATTAATGGTTATAACATTTAAAAAATTCTTCTTTATAGTATATCGTAAATGATAAATTACAAATTAACAGTTTTTAGACAAACATAATACTATGATTTATACAAATATATAATGTACTGTTAATTGATTATTTTTGTCATTTGTTAGCTATAAATTATAATATGAAAATTAATGTGACGTAAGATATAAAAAAGAAGGTTTTTGTGGAACGTCGATTTAGATTATAGAGATAGAAGCTAAAAGAGATGAAAGATATGCGCTAGTGCGACATGTACAGAAAATTGTGTATTGTATGTAAAGGAAATGGTGCTGTGAGACATGGAAGAGAAGTTGCCGCATGAAAGAAAAAGAATGAGAAAAGAAAAAAGAGAATAGAAATACTAACATAGATAGAAAACGATAAAAGATAAAAGAGAAAAAAGTTAAAGAAAAAAGGAAAAGAAATGAAGAAGCAGAGCGACACGAAGTAAATGAGAAAATAAAAACTAGGAAAATTTTGGACTGCGATGGAAGAAAACGAGGAAAGGGGTAAAGGGATAAGTTAGATTAGCTGAAACTATCTAATATAAGAAAACGAAAAACGGAAATTCGGCAAAAGAGTAGGTCACCCACTCGTGCGCACAGATTAAGCATCTTAATCGCCTACGAGCAAAACTGCAAATTGTGCACTCGAGTGAAATGAAAATGGTACCGAGTATACGTATAACCCTCGCTTGTAAGAGAAGCACGGCGCGTTTGAAACAAAAAGTTCAATGGGGTTGAAGCACAAGCGAGGAAAGGACGCGGAGCTCGTAAAGGCGGAAGCGAAGGGTGAATGGTCATAGAGAAAGGGTCGACTAAAAAGTCAAGACACAAGAGACATGCCCGGTGAATTGAAGACGCTTTTCATGAGTGAAAATAGTGTGAGTTACAGCGTGCTTAGCAGGAGTACAGATAACTTTTTTTTTAATCAGCGACGCTCTGATTTAAACTGCCGCTTTAATCTCAGTTCTACCAGTTTTAACGGCAGCGGCATTCTCTGTGATTAAAAACGGGCTTGTGTTTTGAAACTATGCTATTGCATTAACAATACAATTTTCTGCTGCGAGAACTTTCTCCGTATACGCGAACTTTTATTGCTATGATCATATTTTATTATTGTATTATAATTTGAAGTTCATGTTTATCAAACTTTTAGGAATGTTAAATATTGCTTAGTAAAATATGAAGAATACCGGCGGTAATTTTACAATTCCCTTCTTCCTATTTAATTTTTCTTCTAGGCTTATCTTCGAGCTCCCATAAATTCGTACGCTGAAAAGGTTAATATTAAGTAAACCGGCGGCGCGGCGCGGTGCGAATATACTTTGCTGACAAGTAGGTTAATCTACTTTTGTGCAATAATTTTTGTACATACGTCGCCTTCATTAGAGCAAGCCACAATCTCGTCTTTTCCGGCATTTTGCTTGAATATATGACTTAGTGCAGGTGGTTATCTCCACAAACAAAATTCATATTTACAGAAATCTTACTTTTCGTAAAAAAAAGGACGTAATACTTGCTGTACGGAAAATTTATTTCCATTTCAGTTTCAGAACAGCAAACTCTGTTCATCCTCCTGGGACGTGTTAAAATTAATAGTTTCGCTAAAACACAAACTACTATAACGTCTTCCTTTCTCTTTCATCTCTAACATAGCGAATAAAATAAAATTTAATCGAAAAATTATTATAAATGTCAACAATAAAATAATAAGGTTAGACAAAAATAGATTCGTTTAAAACTTTTTTCTAAAACATGAATGCGCAACTATAATTTTTAGATTCTTGCATGTTATGCTGCGCAAAAAATAAATTAGTGCTAAATAACGCTGGGCAAAAAGAAGAGCTTTACAACGTTTCTAATCGCCGAAACTCCAACCTCGCGAAACGCTCGACGCAGAAAACGGCAACTCGTCAACTTCTAATATTCTACACAAAGCACTGTCTCGCGAGAGTACTCACCGTGAAATCGCGTATCGTCGTACATACCGCACCTTTTGCCCCTCACCGAGATTAAAGTCCTTTGCGCTTTGTCCACAAGAGTGTCTGACATCCTCCGTTCTCTGTCTCGTTTTACACGATGCTCCTCCAGGCGGAAGATAGACGTCAACGAATAAGCCGACGAATAATTTTCTTCAACACATATCGGCCCGAGCAAAATTAGTCCCGAGAATGAAATGTGGAGGATAAAAGCAGCAGAGCGGGGGACTTGGGCCACTCTAACGAGACTCTAATCTTCTTCCCTCGTTGAAGCTTAGAGCAGCTATCTCAAACTTTCGCCTCGTACACCGGGTAATTAAAATGTTAATCGAGGAATTAGGTAGTTAAGGAGAAGGTTTGCCCCGACAGGGTATACTTCGGTTTCGCCCGCACGTCGTTTGTTCTGGTTAACGAAACTCGAAAGTCTTTGATCGGATTTAATGTGAACAAAGTGACCAAAGAAATAGTGACAATTCTATTTCATTAAGGACAAATACATAATACATTCATATATCTTCAATATAATAATTATTTCTAAGCCATTTTAACACTAGAATCGTGTCATTTCACGATTACAGCTTCGCTATAACTATATGATTATTTCTTTTTTGTATTAAATATACAGTACAAAGTATTGAAAATACATGCATATAATACAAATATAATATAATTCTAATGCTACAAATAAATCTTATATTTTATGATATCAAAATAAATGTTCGTTAAGTGAAAATAAGGACAAAAGAACTAAATTTAGGATAGCAAATTACCAAATTGGCATCTTCGACGGTTCTATTGGAATACCATTGACGGTTTTAGTGTTAAAATATGTATAATGAGACACGTATATAACATAGCTATTAATAGATTAAACGATAGATATAGCTTTCATTAAAATTAATATTAATTTTCGAAATACTTGCAATTCATGAGAATTATTTCCTGTAGTATATGTTACAATTTAATTGAAAATTTAAAGTTGATGACATTATAAAGTAAAAAATAACATGCACAGAGTCGAATAAAATACCGATTTTGCCTATGTACGTTCTGTACGTTGTGTGTGTTGTGAACGTAATTTCTCGGTCATCTACCAGAGCGGTTTGGGATTGCTATTTTGGAAATTAGTTGGAAAATTAGTTTTAGCCACCAGTTTACTACGAACTTTTGAAATTGGTAGGTTGGAGGACTGGCACGACCGGGGAATATAGTTTTCTGTCATCAACGAGTCACCCCGTACATTGTCAAGTTCTAATGTTATTACAGTTCATTCCGAGCGGCATTTCAGCGTTGGTCAGCGACGAAATGTCGACGGGAAATTGTTAGCTTCCGTTACATCTAAAAGATCATTTTTCACTTTTTGTTGCAGGTTGGACGACGAGAAGCTGGATCTCATTAACGTAAGTAATTTCGATAAAATGCAGCATTACCTTTTACAACTTTAATTAAACGTCTCGCTTGTAGAACAATGTAGAGCAGAAATTATATTTATCTAGAATCTGAGACTCTGAGAATCAAGTCGAAAATTTACGAAATATGCCGTTGCACAAAATATAATATTCAAATAATAATACGAAAATTAATAATAAACAGAAATAAGAGCAATATTAATAATGATTTAATTATCCAATTTAATATCTATATAATAAAAGAATATTTTTAGATAAAAAAGTATAATAATTTCAAAAAAATAAGAAAAATTTTTAATGATTATAATTTATATTATCAGTAAGGAAAGAGAAAGAGAGCGACTTCATCATTCGAGGAAATATAAATCAATTTGAATCATCCGTACAATGAAAATTTGAAATTATCATGTTGCAGCTTAGCCCTCTTTGCACAGGATCGATTAAAAGCCCCGCGATATTAGCTCTCTGTAATCGCGTAAGCCTCCGTACGATTTCGTCGACGTTGATCGACATCGATATCGATACGGGACGCAACGGATGGAAATGGACCATGGTAGAACTACGCATTCCACGCCATATCAAACGTTGCCGGCGTCATGGCGGCCTAATGCACCGCGTCGCGAGCATAACTGTATGCGCCAAATAACCGGAAATTACCGGGCGCATTTCAATCAGAATCGCTCGGCAACGTCCGTCGCATGGACCATCGTTTGTTCCACATAAATAGATGCCTAGCTCGTATGATAATCTCTCAAATCGAGCCGGGAAATCTCGGGGAATTGCTGGCTTCTCTCTGGAGAACCGCTTTTCTGGTAAAGCTACAGCGAATAAGCTCTATATTCAACAGAAAGGAACGCTCGTTTATTATTCGTGATTATCTGTTTTTATCACACTTCACAATATATCGATCACTATAATATATCGACAAAACATGAAAATTAATAACTAAAATATGTTCTATTTATAAATTTGACGTCAACTCTTTGATAAAAAAATTTACGAAGGTTCAATTTATATTTATATATTAATGTTTTAAATATTAAACGATTAATTAATAAAGTTTTTCAGCTTCCAAGGATCAAGTTTTCCAAGAATATAAATGAATAATATTTTATGTATAATTTTAATAAATTTTATTTTAAGTTTTGTATTTGAATAATTAAGCTGTCTAAGGTTAAATTTTTAAAAGCAAATAATATTGATCCTTTTTCATTAAATTTTTGGTTATTGAAAAAATCAAGCACAAACTCAACGTATTTCAAGTTCTCAAAAAGTGTATTTTTATTAATTACATTTTATTATATCCATTGCACCAAAAATGTATTTAACACTTGTTTGCATATGTACGTACTTGAGTGGAAAAATTATAATGAATTTCATGATTATATGGCAAGCGCGATAATAACGATATTTCGAAACTCATATTTTTCGACAATACAAAATGGAGTGTAAATTGTAATGGAATAGAAACAGAAATTTACAATCCAAACAGTACAGGGCGATATTATATATTGTAGTCATCACTGAATATTGAAAATGATTTTCCTCCGTTTATCCTACATCATATTACGTACATCCGCTATGAAATTGCGCACTTAAGCAGGATAGAACGCAATATCGTGTAGTAAGCGCCACAGATTTATCTCGATCGTACATTGCTGTATTTACCAACATGTTCCAATTGCAGTAGTTACTTCATGCATAGTACAACAAAACAATCGTCTTTGACTTGGATGAAGCCATGTGCATTTATCCGCGCAATTGCACTTCGCCAGTGATAGGAGCGCAGCTCATTAATGTCCCCTGCGGTCGAATGTTTCAGTGAACAATTCTAAATAGCTTTTTGATAAATATATACATAAATGGTGTTTTATAGCATGCTATAAATTAAATGTGTCTTGAATAAACATTACATTAGCACAACATAACGTTGCACTAACATTTTGCTTTATTTTATTAAATACTTCACAAAACATAAAAAAGAATTTTTAAATATTATACATTCCACGTATTTCTTTTGTATTTTATATCTGTACACAATCTAATAAAAAAATTAATAAAAATTAATTTTTCTATTTTTATATAATTACATGAAAATAATAAAACAAATTCCTATATAATTTTTAATTGCACAGCAAAAAAACATTTTGTATTTATATTAGAACCGGTTCATTCAAGTTTTTGTTAAAATTTTGTGTTGAATTTTTAATACATTTGAATATTAATTTAATATGATGTAATTATGTTATTTAAATAGTTTGTGTTTCAAATCGATATTCAATCATTTCCTAGTGTCAATGATACAATTTATGAATAAATGAACAAATAACATAAGAATAATGTATTTTAAAACGCAAATTTTTAAATAAATGAATAAAATAGTTGTTAGTTTGATATATCATAAATGTTAATTTTACTGAACAAATATACTTCCACACGATTTGTTTACACACTGTGTAATATTATCTTTTCTGTATTTATTTTTTTAAATAATGTTTGTGTTATCTTCTAATATATTCGTCTTGTGTTAAATTAACACATAAATTTGTTTGACACTTGAAATGTAAATTTAATACAAATTTTCCAAACAGGTATATAAAAATTAATTTATTTTTATAGTATATATATATATAGTTATTAATTGCGTATATAAGTTAGTTTATTTTCACACGTATTAAGATGTTAATTGTAAACATATCAACTTTTAGCTCTTTCAAAACATTCCAAAAAATTTTTATTGTGTTTTCTATTATCGCGTCTTAGTGATATATGTAAGTTGACTGTAAGAGGATAAATTGAAAGAATATATATTTTGCAATCTTCATGGATGCCAAGGTATATCGAGAATCTTTATTCCTCTCTTTCACTGTGTCAGTATCGAGCATGTACACCGGCAATCTCAAGAGAGTGCCTTTACTCCACAATCTTCCGCTTGCGTTTTATTGCAGGGCTACTCTCCTCTCGCTTGTCGAACTGCTTTCTTGATTTTTCTCAGCCACTTGTTTTCATCGCTCTCTCTTCTCAGACACTATCTCCCAAAGGTGCTTCTCGTTCCAAGAGTAGAAATCTTACTATTTGGTGTGCTTGTGTAGTAATTATGGACATACATTCCCTAATATATCACATTAATTGAAGTAAATCTTCGAACAATTCAATAGCTCGTAAATTAAATTACATAATGACATTGTCAGCAGATTTGTAGCAGTTAACTCAATTGCGAAGCACTATAATCATCGTGTGATTTGCTTTTTTATATAGAAATATTTAAAAAATATAGAATAAATAGAAATTCATAACAAAAAATTTATAATTACAATGAGTTTTTATTGAAGTTTTATTAAAATAACTAATGTACTCTATATTTTTATTATTAAAAATGCATGAAATGCATTTTTCCGTTGGGATGTCATGTAGCACAAGTCCTTCCATTTGCATATCATTTACAGTGTGTGCGATAGTAATCTCAGGGGAGTGTCCACTCCACAATCTTCCGCATATGCCATATTGCCGCTGAACGACAATCCTGATTGTTCTCGTGAAAAAGAGGATCATTCTTTTTCCACTCGCTCTTCCTCGAATGATATCCCTCACAGACGATTCTATCGTGATTCTCATCGTTATTTGTAATGCATACAAGAATATTGGTAATAAAATTTTATTCTGTTAAGAATGTTCTCCCACTACAAGAATTATTATTATTGTATTATCTTATAATTTTATATATAAGATATATGAAAATAAAAAGAGCGTCTAATTTTATTTTAAGATGTTTCTAGTATATTATATTATATTATACATAACTGACTTCTCCCTTTTTATAAATCAAAGAATAATTATACATATATTATACAAAAATATGTTGTGTAAAAAATTGGGTGAAAATATAAAGTTAATTGAATAAATTATATTTCGTATATATATTGTTGAAATATATAATTGATATATCTGTGAATCATTTTAATATTTTATTGTATTATATGAAATACACACGAAAATAAAAATATTGATATTTTAATGTCTACGATTGTAGTTAACGCACAGAAAAACTTTCATAGAAATTCCTATATTAGGATCAATGAAAACTATATCTTTAAGACTATAATATTTGATTCTTTTACAAGCACGAATTATGTTAGCTATTGTCGTTTATGTAGTTTAAAGATAACGTCATGTGCACATATAATCGTAACTTTCTAATTAATTTTTTTTTTTGTTATCCAATCTCGCAGCATTTGCACGTCGCTATTATTGTCGGTGACAATTTTGCGAAGTACCCTTCGTGAATGGAAACTTGTTAATGAGTTTACTTCTCGTAGATGTGATTCTCCCGAGGCAATTTAAATTAAAGCGTTATTGTGTTTTGTTATTTATTCGGAAATGAAAGGGGAGACGACCCATTTATAATATTATCTGATATTAGAGAGGCATACACTCTGATAGGAAGTGCTTGGCGAAGGAACTCTCAATGGAGGATTTTACAATAGTAAGATCCAGTATAACGATCATCTTTCGTGCAAAGAGTTCGATCATGAAAACTTTTGCCAAAGTGCACAAAGAAGGCATGCTCCATGCCTTACTCGTGGCGCCTTTTCTCTTGAAAAGTACAAAAAAGGAAAGTTCTGCTAGGTGAAAATCTTTACCCTCCGACTCATAAGACAATGGCACGGTTTTTTCTTTCGTGTCGAGATCGATGAACATTATGAAGAAAGATGGCGCGATCGTCCTGTCACCCGTTCTACTATGTATGTTTTATCACGTGCTAAGTTTTTCTGGAGAGCTATTGTATATTATACGATGACACATTTATCTTGAAATTTTTCGTGCAAACGCAATAAATAAGCTCAATCTTCTTAGAGCAAAAATTTCTATTTTGCCACGCACGTATGCGAGTTGATCTTCCAGTAAATTTACACATAATTATTGCTCGTATGAGAGAAATAATAAAAGTCTTCATTTTGATATACATATACAGAAAGAATCGTTTTGCTAAA